TTAACTTACAAATTTAGACTTTAGAATACAGTAAATTTATTTCAATTATAACTTTAAAAAAAATTAAGTTAAAGCATTTTATTTTTACTTAATTTAAAAATAGTTTTAATTTATAAAATATCTTAAATTTTGAATTAAACTTGATTTGCATATATAAAAGGTAAAATCAAATTGGGAATGATGGAGCTTCTACTATTGGTACAGCACTTGTTAAATGCAAATTGCTAACTAATCTCTAATTTTACATTTAGTAAAATAATTTTTTATTTATTGATAACTAAAGAAGTTTGAGTTATTTTATACATTTTGATAGAAATTTCAAAACAAATTTAAATAGTCAATAAATAAATTTATTTTGTTTAAAAAGTGCAAATTAAATTAGAGATAATGGAGCATAAAATATTGGATTAGGTTTGAGTAAGTGCACTCAACTTACAAATTTAGACTTTAGAATACAGTAAATTTATTTCAATTATAACTTTAAAAAAAATTAAGTTAAAGCATTTTATTTTTACTTAATTTAAAAATAGTTTTAATTTATAAAATATCTTAAATTTTGAATTAAACTTGATTTGCATATATAAAAGGTAAAATCAAATAGGAGATGATGGAGCTTCTACTATTGGTACAGCACTTGGTAACTGCAAATTGCTAACTAATCTTATATTTTACATTGGGTAAAATAATTTTTTATTTATTTATTGATAACTAAAGAAGTTTGAGTTATTTTATACATTTTGATAGAAATTTCAAAACAAATTTAAATAGTCAATAAATAAATTTATTTTGTTTAAAAAGTGCAAATTAAATTGGAGATAATGGAGCATAAAATATTGGATTAGGTTTGAGTAAGTGTACTTAACTTAGAAATTTAGAATTAGCATTAGGGTAAATTTATTCCATTTATAATTTTTTTAAAAAAATTAAGTTAAAGCATTTTATTTTTAATTAATTTAAAAATAGTTTTAATTTATAAAATATCTTAAATTTTGAATTAAACTTGATTTGCATATATAAAAGGTAAAATCAAATTGGGAATGATGGAGCTTCTACTATTGGTACAGCACTTGGTAACTGCAAATTGCTAACTAATCTCAAATTTTACATTGGGTAAAATAATTT